TTTTTCAATACAATCTAGAGAACTAACTATAAGTAATAAAAAATATTCATTAAATACACTTGTGAAATCTATTTCTTATTTGATATTTTAAGCATTAAGCATTAAGAGATAAAATAAGATAAAATAACGTCACTTTTACTGAAGTTGGTCGTGAGAAAGAGAGAGAGAAACATTGATTTAAAAAAATTATTTAGAACAAAAATGGCAATTTTATAAATCTATGTTTTATTAATCAAATCGATATAACATAGAGCGTACAGATATAAATATTTTTTCTTTCGCGTTTTCTTCGCCTCACGAACCAACCTTAGTTCTTGAGGATTAAATAAATTTCTGAAATATATTATATATTTTTAAGAAATAATTTATAAAATTAATAATACGTATGGGGCTACGAACCAAGCCAGGGCTTAATGCTATGTTATTATAAAACAAAAGTTTATTATCACAAACGTTTCGACCCTAATTGGATCATTCTCAATGTTAAAATTAATATAATTTAAAAAACAATGACTTATTTGAAAGACAATAACTTGACAAAAAACACAAGCTATAATTTAGACGATAATTGTAGCAAAATATAAATTCATTGTAATATATATAAAATTTCATTATGGATGGTTTTGAGCATTATTTAATATATCCATGTGAAAAAATAGATGCCGAAATATTCGGATAGGTACATGAATATTTAAATAAATTACAGCGTATGTCAATAACGGCTATTTTATAAAATGATCTTAGAGACGCAGTCGGGAATGTCAGAAATACACTTTCAAATTGACAAATGAATCAATTCTGAATATTGTCTAAAAACATAATTTAAAAAGATTGTATAAATAATAATTTGCAAAAATAAATGTAAGTCGCTAGCTAAAATAATTTCCTCAACTCATACGCAAAATTTTATAAATACGATAATTCGATTATACAAATAAAATAGAAAATTGTTAAACGGTTATATGAATAAAATTAAACTTGTGTATATAACAAATGTCTCTAAGATTAATTGTTTTTTCGATTAACAGTCCGTTGTATGATCTCTTTTTTTTCATAAAATTATTAAGAAAA